CACCCACATCACACATGGCATGGCAGAATAAAAACAACATAGTTTGGTTTTACCGATGGTGGCCTTGTCAGTCTCGATCTCAGCCAGCAGATCTCCTTCACTCAGCTTCTCTCCCACTTTCTTCTCCCAGCGCTGCACTGTTCCCACCGTCATGGTGGGAGAGAGGGCAGGAAGTGTGATCTGTAACACACAGGAGGATTTGGTAAATTGTTAAAAGCTGCCTCTGAATAAGTTAAAGCTGTTCTCAAGTTCCTGGTAACTCTCAGCCAAACATAAATGGTAAATGGACTGTACTTATATAGCGCTTTATCCAGTCTTTAAGACCCCTCAAAGCGCTTTACATACTACATGTCATTCACCCATTCATACAGAGCAGTGTACCTTACTCTAGGACCTAACATTCACACACATTCACACACCGTTGGCCATGCCATCGGGAGCAACTCAGGGTTAAGTATCTTGCCCAAGGATACATCGACATGTTGACTGCATGGGCTGGGATCGAACCCACAACCTTCTGGTTGAAAGACGACCACACTCCCTCACAGCCACAGTCGCCCTACATACTACATACATACTATTGTGTTCAAGAGATAAAACGTTGTTTTTATTCTCACAAACAATGGTACCCTTGACACTATGATGTCAACATGTGAGACCACGGGTAGACACATCAAGTGCAGCAGGAAAAAAGGTTGAACACAAAATATCTGTAAATATGTCTTGCTGCTGTAAACATCACTGACTCACACATTGTATAGCTACACACATTGACCAAGAAAAAACAGCATAAAACAGTTTTGTATAATATAAGTATTGGGATTCTCTGATTGAAGGTCATGTGCATCAAAAGAAAAAACCTTGAGACCATTACTTGAGTAAGAAAAACATGTGGTCTCTTTATTTTCCTTAAAACTGACAAAATGTACAAGCAGGTCCATCTGGTTTCAAAGGGAAGCTACTATGTATACATTTGCATTTGAATGCAACATATTTCATATTATTCTGATGGCATCCTTTTTCGTCTAATTGAATACGTTAAAATGGTGGCCGTCTACGTTTTGCTTAAAGCCTGTTTATCTAAGGACACTACAAATAGTGGTTATTCAATTTTAGCCCAAATAACTCCACCCTACTGCGCTGCTCCAACATGCAGCAGACACACGATGATCCCGATGAACGTACAGCACACTGTGACTGTAAACACCCTCCACGCCTGACTGAGCTGTTGAGCAGACCTACCTTCAGGTGTGTGGGGTAGGAGCTGCCCGGGGCGGCAGGAGCAGCAGGAGGAGGAGGAGGAGGAGGCGACCGGTGAAGGGCTGGCTCCGGCTGCTTGAAGAGACTCCAGGGTAACATCCTTAAAAGCTGCGACGAGTTCAGGGCTGCAGCAGAAAATATACACAACAATATTAAACATATATTTACCCAAAGCATTAATACATCTAAACGTAAAGGCCATACATTGCATGTGTTGGTGATGCATTTATTAGAATTGATCTAAAAATGGCTTTACTAACTATGAAAACAAAATATCAATAAATACATTTAGAATATTAGTATTCAAATAATAAATTGTACACTTGGTAAAGAATCTGTAACCCGTTTTAGTGCAGCAACAACTTGGTCAAAACTTCCAGTTTCTAATCATATCATTTCAGTTTATAATGTGAATAAACAAAGAGTTAATAGAATATATACAGCTATACCATTTCGGGTCAATATAAATGATCACTATAAATATATCCCTATTTTGGATCATCGCTGCAAAGAAACACTAACAAGCCAGAGCTTGTTTCCCCTGAAGCAGAATGGAAGGGTGGAGCCAGATCTATTTTCACAGCACGGGTCTGGCCTTATGAGACTAAAGTAAAAGCAACAAAGAGTAAAAAAAGATTTCCAGCGTCGGAGAAAGATTTGTGAAGAGATGGTTTCACATTATATATTGTGATTTTAAAAAGGTGTCTATTACCATCTGGATAACAGCTGGAAATTAGCCATGTTGGCTAAAGCTGCCCCATTTACTGTTTTTTGTGACAGTTGATCAATGGGGACTGTCCACGACACTATAAACAAAACTAAAAATATTATTGACCGCACAATTGCAGACTAATTAGAATAAGAGCTTTTTTTACACTAAGGTCACCTTGATTTTCATCCTTTACTTTACAATGATATAAACGTACCTGTCGACTGTGATGCAGATTACAGCTCCAATGTTGACATCTCTGGTCCCTTCGGGCACCAGGATCTTTGCCAGGTAGCACTCCTCCATCATCTCAAACCCTACGGTGGCCTTGTCAGTCTCCACCTACAAAGATAGGACACATTTGATAAAGTGTATATAGTGGTATATTAATTTCCTTCAATAATATAATAACAAACACACAGCTCCATACCTCAGCTATGAGTTCGCCCTCGCCAATTTTTTCTCCTTCCTTCTTCTCCCAGCGAGCGATGGTTCCTGTCTGCATGGTGGGGGACAGTGCAGGGAGCTCCACCTAATGAACCAAAAACAAAAATATCAGGAATTTTACTAATAAGAAATCAAGAATAAAGGAATCATGAGACATCAAAACACAGACGGCCAGGTCCTAGGTGTTGTAACATACAGCTGCATTTCAAAGTGGTCACCTAACATCTGATCTGATAGCAGATAGAAGTGGCAGTGGGGAGTCCTAAAGAGAATGACATTGATATTTGTTTCCAGCTGTGGGAAGTTCATTCGAATAATGTGTGCATCAACAGCAAACTCAAAAAGGTGTTTTTCATGACCAATACTGACTTTCCCAGAGTGACCACACTACATACTTAAAACCTGCTGAAAACAAGTGTTGAGGTATGTACATTGTCAGCATACGACAAGCCACTGATGGAAATGCAGCTACATCATGACTTAAAAAGGAGACTCAGAGTAATCAAAAATACATTTAATTTAAGTTCTGTTTTTTTGCTGGTGTGCAACCGGATGACAATTGAAGCCAAATCAGTATTTAGGTCACATTTTCTAAAACTGATGAGTCTGGAATACATGCATGTTTTTTGTTTGTTTACATTTATTTTGGCTATCTTTTCCAATGTGTATGGACTGGGACCCCCAATGGTGGCCACACACAGCAATATTAACATTAACATCTCCACTGGCCCACAATAACGTACTTATAACAATAACAACAATACAAAAACAACAACAACAATGACTGTAAATGCTTATACCACCAAGCAAAGACACAGCCCATAGTGCTTTACAAAACTAGATCAGATGCATATAAACAATAACAAGCAGAAACAATCAAACTGAGAGGAAAACAATCAGCAGTTTTGATCATAATAATAAATTATAAACTAAACTCCATTTTAGCTGGCATATGGGGACACTTTGTAACTCAAGTCTGAATGTCATTTAATGAAAACATGTCAGGACTCAGATGCCTATGTTCCAACCCCCAGTGGTGTCACCTACCTACTGGCCTGCTAAATGCGTTTTGGTAAAGCTAAGAAACGCTGTTTTTGCAGATAGTGTAGTTTAAAACTCGTGCAGCTGCTGGGTGTAACCTTTACAGCAGTGACAGAGTGAGTGAGCTCTTCACAGCGCTGTCATCTCAAGCTAGCTCGGGAGGTCATGCTAGCTGTAACCGTTGGTGCTATAGCAACCTGACAGTCGTCAACGTTACCTTCTGGTGCGGCGGCAGGCAGTAGAACCGCACACTCTGACAGCTCAGCCCGGGACACCGCAGCAGAGCCGCCCTGTTGCTGAGGCCGGAGCTCCAGCACACGGTCCGGGACCCGCAATGCAGCCGCCTCAGAGCACCGGTCCCGGGCACGGAGCGGGAGCTGAGCGCAGCAGGCCCGGCCGGGAGGGCAAGGGGACACCGGAGCCCGGAGGACGGCCTGAGCCGCAAGATCAGACGAAGCATTTCGCAGGGATTGAAACACTATACAGAGCTGTTGAATAATGTATTTATCTTAAACAACATCAGATGGAGGAGTGTTGCTCTGCCTGGAGGACCGGACCGGTTTTAGCTACTCCTCACTTTCTAATGACCTCCTCCAGTCCAAATCGTCCAAACACAACGCTTTACGGCTCCACTCCTTGTCCTGCCGTAGCTTGGAGATAAGTGTCGTAAACAATATCCGTTTAAAATGTAGACATACGATTTAATTTTTTTTAAATCCTCCACAAAATCTTAATCAAAGTTAAATGAGAAACACAAAATGTATCAAAAAACCTAAAACTTGAAATGAGAAACTATAAGAGAAGGATTCGCAAGGTAGCTGCAATTATATCAGTGTCCACACGATGGCAGGGAAATAATTAAATGGATTTGGAGCATAGACTGTATATAAATTTGGAGCCTGACATTTGCATTTGAAATGTGTTGCCAAATCAACAATGAATCCAATGTATTACGATGTAAGTTAATGAAAGAGATGATACAATAACAAGATTAAAAAATAATGCTTATAATGAATATGTTAGCGAGGATAAAATGTCAATGTAACTTTACTTTTCCATGCAAGATAAACAAAAAGCAGTAATAATTGTTTTAAGTGTATACTGGAAAAGTACAATGTTCAGTGAATGCAGCAGCTGTCAAACTATGCAGTTACTTCTATTCTGCATATCAATTCAACATGTAACACAGTTTTACTCTCACCTTATTCTCTAGTTCTCTCCTCTCTTTTTCTATTCATCTTTAAGGTTTTAAGCTCATATAATTCCATGAAAACATAGATAAAATTATATTTTGTTAAACATATAGCATTAAGAGCTAAATTGCCAAGACCTGGTAATCTGGAGCTTTTATCAGTAAAAACCAGTCTCCATTTCAATAAAAAACGGAACATATTTATAAAAACAAAACTTGGTTTATTTGAAAATATCTGTCTTTTCTAACATTCAACAAAGGTCCTTTTTATTTTTAACAGACAGTTTTAACATTTTGTGAAATATTTCAGTAAACAAATTCTGAATAACCATCTCTCCAACTAATTATACATATTACAGTTCAGGCAGTTATGGCATTAAAACAGGTCAAAAGTAAATCGATGCATATTTCAGTTGGCTTGTTAGTAAAGGTAAACACATTGATCCCAAACGTGAAAATAAAGCAGAACGAAGGAAAATATGACAAAGGTCCATCCTGATCGCTTTTCTCACTCTCTCTCTCACACACACACACACACACACACACACACGCACGCACACACACACACACCATAAATAGTGGGTGGTCCTTTGAAGCAGTCTCCTTTAAATCTCTGATGTAAAATTCACATCTCACAGGAATCTCTCTTTGAACAAAGAATATTCACAAACTTAAAAAATGTAAGGACAAAATAAGTTTATACAAATGTACAAAAACAATTTCCTAAAGTAAACAAAACAACAGTGCTGTTCGTCTGTATTTGTACATAAACACAAAAGTTCCAGCATCCTTTATTTTTCACGAAATGCAGTTCAGTTTAAGCCTTTCGGTCTACATCAACCCAGATTAGAACTACGGTCCTTTCTGCTGAAACTGATGATATCAATTCAGGAGTTTTTTTTTTTGAACTACATTTTTTTCTCAAGATGACTGTCACCCTTTGTGTTATCTGCGGCCTGCCTAAAAGGGTTTTGTATTTAGATATATACATTTATATGTTAATACAAAACGTATTAATAGTAGAAGAAGCTGGTTTCTGGGCAGATTATTTGTACGCATTAGGTCAGAATGTCACCAAACCTTGTGAACTACTAAAACAAAATGAAATTGTACAAAGTTTGCATGAATTTTTCGGTGCTTGTAACCTTTCTATTATAAAAGTGGTATTTTTTCCTCACCCAAAATAAGTTTTCTCTATTTTTATGCTATGGTAGATAATACTGTAATTTCACTTTACATTCACAAGTAAGATTGAAATGTAGTCATACATTGTTGTTCCAAAGACCTTATTAATACACAAGAATAAAAAGTGATGCAACTCTTCAACATGAGAATAAACATGTTTTTTCCTCTTAACAGTAAAAACCTCTTAACTAGAGAAGAAACAAAACAACTGCGTGTTTAGAAAAAGGCAATTTAAATAAATTGTCCATCTACTTTCCAGTTTTGATACTACAGTACAGCATGGCAATAATAAGCAAATGATGGAAACAGCTTTTCTAAGGCACTGAGTTTGATGATATTCTAGTTAAAGATTGTTTAAGGCTATCAGTGTGATTTCGTACCAGCTTGTTGAAAATTCATACAGTATTTCACTAATAATGTTGGCTCTTAGAAGTGTCCACTGGTGCCTCCGGTGAACAGTTGTCTGGATGGGCCTCTTGGATCCTCCTGACTAGGGGCAAAAACAGAGTGTCATGGCAGTTTAGCTTGCACTTACAATGGCCTAAAAAACAAAAGATACTGCTTACTGCGGAGAGTCATGAAAACAGAGACAGAGATACAGAAATAATGCAGTACCTTTCTTCCCCATGGTCCTCTTCTACCCAAGCCACTATTTTTCCTTCCCAGCCTGGAATAATTGCTCCATCCAAAAATACCTGCACAAAGAAATAAATACAGCGTACACTCAAACAAATGTTAAGTGTCTATCATAAGATTGCTTCAGCCCTCATCCACTCCACTGCTTTTCTGCACACGTTCAAGTGTAAAAGGATCTTTAAAGAGTTGCACAAAACAGGCTAAATGGAAGTACTTAAAGGGGACCTATCATGCAAAATGCACTTTATGATGTCTTTTATACATAAATATGTGTCCCCGGTGTTTCAGGGAACTCACGCAGCATAAGAAAATAAAACCCTCTCTCTTTTTTTCCTCCGTACCCACATCTCTAAAAACGGGGCTACAACGGAGCTGATCCAGATTTGCGTCCAATATGACGCAATATCGTAAATGTGGACCCACGGCCCTATCAGAAAGTTGCTATCAGAAACAATGCCCGATTGTTGGACGTAATATGGTCGGTGTTTACATTAGCATCGCTAACCTGTGCTGGAGAGCATGTGTGTGAAGAAGCAGGAAATAGAAAGGAACTCATCTTGTGGTATAACCGGCAAGAGAGAAAGCCTTTGAGCTCCATACTGTTTCAGAAATAATCCTTGATAATCCATGATATGGAGTTTCATCACGGCAGTATTTAGTTTAGACAGTAGCTGCCGGGTCCCGCATGAGCTCAGACCCCTACTTTTTTATTTTGGATCAATGTTTTTTAAAGCTTTATACCCTAAATCAGCACTTTTGAAACAGGAAGTGAAATAGAGGGATATGAGGCATGGCTAGAATGGGTGACCTGTTTGGTATTTTGAGCAAAACACTTCATAGACATGTTTTTTATATATTTTTATATATCTGAGAACTATGCTATTGCCTAAAAATAGCATGATAGGTGAACTTTAATGTTTTAATTTGAGTTTATTCAGTTTCTATTCAGACCAGGGTGCACCAAATGACTGTCCTGTTATCTATTTGTTTCTACGCCTTCTCTCACCTCTTCTTTCACAGTGCCAAACTCAGGGTCCAGGGCCTTGAAGTGATACCTGTAGTTTCCCTCTCGATCCACAGCTGCCTTTACGTCCTTTAAAGTCACCTCACCCAGCCTGTACAATGTGAACACAAAAACACACTCATCATGACCGCTTTATTTTATATTTTTGTACTTGTTTTCTTCCTATTGCTGACAAGTCTAAAGTCAGGTGTTATGATTGTCAGCATCGATTCTGTCTGTCAACCAAAACATTGCAACATATTTAAAAAAAAATGGAAAGAATACACACAAAAACTCACCTTTTCGGTATATTGATCATGGAAGGTGTTGGGGATTTTCCAGTAAAATAAAGAATTTTAGTGGAGGCAGAAGACCCACTATTGGTGTGACATACAGCTGTAACAACAGAAACATAGTCAGTAAGATTGTTAATGTGTGAGCATTTGAATTTGGGAGGTAAGATTTGGAATAACTTACTCGTGGAAGACCAGGTTTCAGAGTCAGTGAGTTGGCCTTTCCGTCTTGGAGACTTCCCCCTTCCCTGTTGGGTTTGAGAAAATGTTGATTCCCCTCTATGATTTTAAATATCTACATTTTGCCAAAACAAACTAGAACACATATATATTCACAGTATTAGACAATTTCATATCCAAGGTTCAAGGTTCTTTATTTGTCAAACGAACATAGCTACAGTGTAGTTATGTCGATGAAAATCTTGTGTCACAGGCTTCTCCAACAGTGCAACACAAAACACAGATAAACAGAAAAATATAGTGCAAGTATATAGTAAATAGTAAATACAAGAAGAAAAATGGTTAAAAAAGTGAAATAGTGAGATAGTGCAATGAGAGTCTATATGCAAGTCATTGAAATATGATATATTAGGTAAATAGATAAATAATTGTTAAGTAGCAGCCAGATGAATATTGTGGATGTTGTTTCAACAGTTCAGGTGTTTAACAGTCTTATTGCCTGTGGGATGAAACTGTCCCTGAGTCTGGTGGTTTTAGTCCGGATGCTACACTTTCATTTATGCGTACTCCATTAGGGAGTCAAATCAGATGTTAAAGTGGTAATCTATGTATAGTTTAGGAAGCCAGTGTGTTCGTACCCTGTGTGTGTGCACAACATGCAGTCTGTCAATGAGTGACACGATGCCCTGCTCCAGGGTGTCCAGAGTGTGGTGCTGCGGGTCGTGATCTCGGAAGTTGTTCCTCAAACTCCGAAGTGAATCTCTGAGCAGCTGAACCTCCTCTGCCTGCTAGCAAAACCATGTCAAAAACACAAACGCTCATTTTATCATCAGCCGCTCCGTAATTGTTTCAAGCCTCACAGTCCTTTTTTATGCATGACATTTGGAGTTCCCTGTGGTTGACTTATAGTATGTAGCCTCAAAAGAAGCCTGACTAACGTACCAGACTTTCAAAAGAAACAATACTTACATCTGACACGGAGGGAGCAGGATTTCCAGAGTAAGAATATCCATTGTTTTCTGTCTATGAAGAAAGAAAAAGAAGACAAAGTGTCAGTTGTGTAATGTATATCTGAATGTGAGACTGCCTGAAGCAGAACAAATATGTAACATAAAACTGCGCTGTAAAGATTTTGATGCAGAATGTTAAGAAAGTACCTGCATGCTGCAATAAATGGACAATCAGACTTTAAAACACACTTAAACAAACCTGCCATAAAGTTTAAATTCATCTATTCCAAACATCAGATTTATAGATTAAAGTGAGTATGTTTTATAGTTTCCTCATGCATTTAAGTATGTTTTACTATTCATTTGCTGAAGTAGAACAACTACAAAGCAAGACTGTGAAGGGCACTTTCAAAAAAAGAGTAAATGAATAACTTTTGGTTCTCACAGATGGCATTGAGCTGGACAGAAGGTTTTTATCCCACCGTATTTCCCATTTGAGATCTGGCTCACATACCTGCTTTTTTTGACTTTCTTCAAGCTTGTGTTTGAGTTGCTGCAGTAGTCTGTCCTTCTGTCCTACCTCCTTCTGCAGCCAGTCAACGAAGGAGAAGAGAGGTTCATCATGTCATACAAACAAAATGTAACAGATGCTGTGGAACAGAAAGTCAGGAGAACTCATATAGGTTACAATAAAAGAGAGTTACTCCACCTTGCATTCACCCCACAGCCTGTTGCATTCCTCCATCTTCCACTGTAGCTCAGCCTATAACAGAGAGTACACAGTATGAATACACAGTAACATACATAGTTGTGTATGTTAAGTTGCTGTGTTGCTATGTGTATTTAGACAAATGGGATAGTAAATATAAGATAAGATAAGATTTACTTTATTGGTCCCATTTTGTGAAAACATTTTTGTGATCGTAGTTAAAAGTTTTACATTTTGACTTTTAAAAATGAAATAGATTGTGTACATTCTGGTTGTTGAGTTCATCCTTGGTCATGCTGGCTCTGAGAAGTTCTTGCTTCATCTGCAGGATCGATGCCTCCTGAGTGCAGAGTCTCTGCTGCTGGGCATCCTGAACATTTACAAACCAACAGAGAGTCGACAGCTTAGCAAGCAGCCAGACTTGTATTTAACTGAGCAATGAGGTAATCAACCTCAGACCAGGATGTGTCTTACCTTGACTGCCTGCATGTTTCTCATTTCCTGCTTACAGCGCAACACTTCCCTCTGAAGCAAACAGCAAACAACACGCTCTGAATGTAATATTAATCACGGTGTGCATTACAGAAATGTGCTCACTCAGTATTCAAATGTGAGTGTCCTTTCAAGAAAAGAAAATACTTCTTTTTTTTTAAAAAGACAACAAATGATGAAATAGTTTACTTTCAGCTGCTGAGCCTCGTCCATGCTCTGATCCAAACGGCTGCGAATGACTACCTGGAAAGAGGGAGAGAAGAAGTAATGTGTGTGAGAACCACAATGGACTGAGAAAGAAGTGACACCGATACCCGTGTCACCCTCTGACACACACTCACACACACACACACACACACACACACACACACACACACACACACACACACACACACACACACACACACACACACACACACATACACACACGAACCCATAGTAAAGAAGAAGAAATATAATCTGTGCTCAACACAAAGAGCTGGTGAGAGAGCCGAAAAGCACAGAGAGAAGTAAACAAAAACAAAAGGAGAAACTAGTGTATAACTACCAGTTGCTGCTCAGCATTGCCTTGGTCCAAACTGAAGGACACATCCTGCTCGTCCTCAGGCAGCGAGCCATGCAGCAGCAGGGCCTAAAAACAACGAGAGTTCAACATGTGACTCGGTTTGTACTTTGGAGCGAGAACACTGTCTTCCTGAAAGCTCAGACAAGTTAAGTTGAGTTGTCTGACGCATAGTAAGCACAGAATTCAAATGGCCTGAAAGTATTGTCAGAATTGTGGTTGTTTCCCACCAGATCCCAAACCCTGCATCCAACCAATAGGATTAAAAAGCGGAGCAGCACAGACATGATCCAATGAAGCCAGAACTATGCTTTTTCCCATTAAAGGTGACCTATCATGCAAAATTCATTTGTGTACGTCTTTT